AAAAATGGTCCTAAAATAAGTTTCAGAATTTCGATGTCTTTCTTTTAAAATGGTGATAACATTTTGTGTAAGCGTAGTAACACAATGTTTATCAATTGACTTCTTTTGCAATATTTTACTTAAATTTACAGTCAAAGCTAAAATATCAGACAGAGAGCATAAAGAAACTATAAAAACGGTGGAACCTATAGTATTTTTTAAACATTCTGCCTTTGAAGAGGCGTTCCGATCTTTTCAGTGGGAAATAATATCAAGAAGGTCTACAATGATTTGAATAGTACTTTGAAACTGAAGCACAGATTCGTGACGTTCAACCCAATTGGTCTCACAAAGACTTTTAAGCTGACTATGGCCATCTAAATTTTCCTTAAGAAGAAAATTTATTTTTGCGGAAGCTTTAAAAAATGCATTTATCTCTTTTATAACGCCAACGGCATTTCTAACACCTTGAACGTTTGAGCTTTTTGAAATAGATAAATTTAATGAGTGGCTGGCACAAGGACTTTTAAGTGCATTAGTTAATTTTTTTTTTCAGTCACAAAGCCTACACAGAACACGAGGCTAATGATCTTAGCAGTCGATGCCGATGACACAAAAAAAAATTCAGTAACAGCTCCTTTTTGTTCACCAAGCAATAAGTTGCAAGTATCAGTTCCAATTCTTATACACTTATCGGGATTTAAATTAATTTTTTTAATAAAATTAAATAAGATTTGTGCCAAAATTTTACCACTAACTGTTGGTTCTAATGTGTCCTCATCAAACATTGCGTGACAATCAATAAAACCTACGAAATCTTCGTACAGACAATTTTCGTAACAGTATCTTAAGATTATTGACATTTGTGACTTATGTCCGTGGTTTCGTCAAATATTACATTATAGAAGTGACTTTTATTTACTCGTTGTAAAATGGTTTCTAAAATCTCCTTACCACAGAATTCAATTATTTCATTTTGCGTATAACTACTATAGTCTATTTTTATGTATGAGAGAGTAATAAAACAGCATTTCTAATGCAAAACTTAGTACGGTCATTTTAAATATTTTTACAGAATAATCTAAATATTTCCTAAAATTGTAATAAATGTACCTGAGCTATTACAAGTTTTGGGTCTTTTATTGGTCCTTTATAAACATAAGATGTACAGAACAATAGAAAAAGGTTTGGACAGGTCAAAAGCCCTGTGTATTAAAGATTACATAGCCGTATCTTAAGATTATTTTCAATCAGTGCCTATTTGCCAATTTTGTTTTATTTTAATTCCAAGAATTTCTTACAGTAATCGAATTATAAGTAGATAAATACCTTCCCAACAAATTTTACCGAAAATGCGATTATAGATTTTCCATTTAGTAAGGAGGTCCAAGTTGTGTATTCTTGACAATTTACTAAATGTCGTTTAGTTGCAACTTGCAAGGTGCGGTGTGAATTCTAGTGTGATCATGGAAAATTTGGAAGGGCCGCGTAAACGACAAAAAATCGGTCCTTTAACAGTTAATGAAAAAACATTATTATTTAATTGTTTTAAATCATTTACAGACAAACATTTATGTAAAAGTATTGATGACGCAGTGGAATTAGTTAGTAGTACGCTTGGTGTTGGGAAATCTACGATTTACAGAGTTGTTAAAAAAGAGAAATGTGGCGAGTTTCAAACAGCACGTAAAGCTCCAGGAAAACCAAAATTGCAATTAGAAAATCTTTTGAAAGAAAGACTTCGAAGGAAAGTGCATGCGTTATTCTTTAGAAAATAATTTCCGACAGTAGACAAAGTTCTTGCCACGGTTCGAGATGATAAGGATTACCCTGAAATGAGTCGAAGCACACTATGGAAACTTTTAAAAGAAATAGGTTTTCTATGGAAAAAGCATTCCAGAAAGTCTATTTTAATAGAAAGAAGCGATATTGTAGTAAGGAGAAGAAATTACCTAAGGACTATAAAAGAAATAAGAAACCAAAGAAGAAATATATTTTATTTAGATGAAACATGGATCAACGAGGGACATAAACCAAATAAATTTTGGCAAGATGAAACTGTTACAAGTCGAAGACAGACTTTTTTAAATAATTTATCTACTGGTTTAAATCCACCATCAGGAAAGGGGCGCAGACTAATAATAGTACACATCGGTAGTTCAAACGGTTTTGTTAAAGGTGGTTTATTGACTTTTGAATCTACTCGTACCGGTGACTACCATGAGGACATGAATGCTGATGTCTTTAAAGAGTGGTTCGAACAAATTATAGATCTTCTTCCTCAGAACTGTATAATAGTAATGGATAATGCAAGTTATCACTCGAGACTTATAGAAAAAATGCCCACAACCAAGTGGTTAAAAAAAGATTTACAGAATTGGCTAAATTCAAAGAATATTAAGTTCCATCCCGGTTCTGTGAGAAAAGAACTGTATCATTTGTGTTCCCTTCATAAAGAGAAATTTAAAAAATATGAAATTGATGAAATTGCAAAAAATCGTGGGATGACGGTGGTTAGATCACTACCCTATCATTGCGAAGTAAACCCGATTGAACTGATATGGGAACAGATAAAGGGAGAAGTTTCAAGAAAAAATAATTCTTTTAAAATGAGTGATGTTAAACAGTTGTTTTTGGAGGCTGTAAATAATGTGAAGCCTGAAAACTGGGAAAAGGCAGTAAATCATACGATTAAAGAAGAAGAGAAAATGTGGTACGCCTATAGATTACGAACGCTTTATTATTGTAATACTCTCTCATACTTAAAAATAGACTATAATATAGGTTGCACGAGATGAAGTGTTTTCTAAATGTTTTTTTAATACAACATCGCCACTCTCTATTCTAAATTTAATTAATTCACGAAAGTTACCTTCATTATTTACAACACTATCCTCATCTTCAGAAGAATCTTCGGAAACGACAAGAGATCCTCGATCTCTATGATCTCTAAAAGGAATATTTTGTCGTCCCAAAAAGATTACTGATTCGATAATGGGTTTCAATCTAAGTTTATTTTCTAAAATCTGCTTTTATCTTTCTTGATCTAATGTATTTCTTACATCTATCTCTGGGTTTTCATAAATTTTAATTAAATTATCTCTCTCTGTAACAGCTTTACTATGATAGACTGATTTATCATGCATTATCAAATCGCCATCTTTTCCGAATAGTTTGGAATACTTATTTAGTGGAGTGGTAACAAGACGTCCCAACTTAGTTGAATGATGTACATCACCCACTTTTGAAAAAATAACGCAAAATTTACAAAATATAACCTCTAGAGTCTCTAGACCTTGCGAATATGTTAGCCAAGAAAAAGTGTCAAAATGTCGTTTTGATAAAAAGCATTTATTATCTTTATCATTTTTTCTGTGAATTGAAAACGAGTACGTAAAATTTTGATCCGGAACCATAGAGTATATTAAAACCGAATATTTTTCCCGCAATGTAATTATTTTAGATGTATTGACAAAAGGGGCAATATCTATCAATTTTTATAACCATATAAAATATTAAATGTGGCAACGCTGTGGTCACTGCTGCTACCGGCGCTAGTTTCGGCGGTTTGTTTACCCATACTCGAACTCGAACCCGCTTCCTCAGAGGATTCCCCGACTGGTAATAAATTCACGACTTCCGAGGTTATTATTCCCTATTTTGTTTTGGTTTTAACAAATAATTATCTAAGGTATTCTGTTTTCTCTTACTCATTGCTAATTTCTGTTGTGCTTAGTATCTGCAAGTGCAAGAACAAAAATAATTTGCAACAACAATGGTACATTTTAGATATTATAATCACATAAACTTAAATCTAAATTACTAAACTTCATAAAAATACCTGTAAAGTAAAACCCTTACATGAACACAGTGTATCACTTTAGTATCACTATCACTTTGGTGATCCAGTATCCAGTACTTCCTGTAGAAATCAAAATAAAAACAAAATTATATAAGCAATATTAGTCGAAGAGAGAGTGAGATTCTGAGATACAAGCACGTACAACGTAGAGTGGGAACCTAAGTTAGGCCGACGAAAGTAAAAAAGCGCTTCTGCCAGATTGAAGAAAAAATACTGCAATTGGTCTTTCAATAGTTTGTGCAATACATTTTTAGTATCTATAAAAAGTTAGGTTTAAACATTCTTGGGGGGGGGGGTGGTAATTAACGTAATTAACCCCATTACCCCCCCCCCATATATTCGCCCCTGAGTTTATCTGTTTCATATAGTATTCAAAAATTTAATACCCACTATTAAATGTTTAATATCCACTAGCAAAGTCTTTTCTAGGTGTATTTTTTACTTGATAACAAACATCAATAACAACAAAATCACGCCCTTAGTTAATCTTGTTCAAATAAAATTTAATTTTCCAGCATATTTTTTTGGAAACCATGTATTTTACTTAATAATTGTTATATCAAAGTAAATAGAAAAATAAAATGATTAGGCTGCCATTTGATATTTAAAAATATTTTTAGTTCTTTGTTGTTCACTCTACCTAATTTTTCAAAAATTACAAAAAAAAAAAAAATAGAAAATTTATGGATGAACCCTTATATAGTATGACAAATATTTTAAAAACAATAATAAGCTAATAGTAAACCTAAAGAATCAATCAACATTTAAAAAACAATCGGAATTGAGTCAAAACCAAGAGAAAAATGATAAACTTAGAAAAAATTAATTTTGCCAGTTTTCCCTAAATTTTTGCATAAAAATGCATAGGGGACATTTTTCCACATACTACCTACTGCTTAATTCATTCCAAGCTACCCTTACGCCAAAATGTTCAATGACATCTTATTTATATTATAAAAGAGCATTTTTTAGTACATTCATAATAACAAAAGTTAAAAGTTAAGTATTTTATTTTTTAAGATATTTTAATTTAAAAAATTAAGCTACTTATGGATGAAAAGTATGTAGAATTATTTTATGACTATATTCAATTTTGTTTACTTCCAGGCTAACTAGATACTAATATCCTATCTCATATATTTATTTTCCAAACACTTACCGTAGACCCCCTTCTAATATCGCTTTCACTTTTTAATCTTCCTATACTTCCTAGTTTTTTGCTGGTAAATTTTTCTAATTCATATGCTTTGAATTTTTCTAAAGCGTCATCTACGAAGCTTTCTGGTACTCTCTTCTGCCATACTTTTATTTTACCTATGTAAAGTACCTAAAAATAAATATTTTATAGAACAATAAGCATTATGGAGATGGCGTATTTTGGCGTGGTGGTTAAAACCTGGACCTTCCAAGAGTCCGGAAGTTCGAAACACAAAGGCCGGATGCAATCACAAATTGATTAAAATTAATCTGATATTTAACTAAATTTTGTTTGTAATTTTATAAATAATTGTGTCAAAAAATAGGAATTTAACTTAAATAAAAGTATGTATTAGATAAAATATAAAGCAGAACGCTAATTCATTTGAGTAAATTTTAGTTTAAGCGATTAACGAGCTACTGTTGGGGTCAAGCAAACTTGTTACTATTTAGAGGGGAAACAGCTACCCTGGGTAAGCACTGATGATGACTATTAATTCGAAATCGCTATGCTAAAAAATATAATTTTGAATTTTACACGAAACACTCCGCCTTTCTTCATTGAAAACAACTTGTTACCTGAACTCTCTGTTGTTAAAACTATTAGGCATTCCAAATAAAATGGCTTTCATGGGAATGATTGGTATGTCTAAGGGGTTGCAACATACGACAACACGTGAAATCATGAATAATGGATTGAATTTAAATATTTTATGTCGAACACAAATTTTATTAAAAAAACCGCTTATACATTTTACATAAATTGACAGGCTTGGCGACTACTATTGCGAATAAAAATAGCGACCAAGATGGAACGTTATGTTGCAACCCCTTTATAAAGAACCCTTTGATAACTCGTTGGAATGCCTAATTACACAAAGCGGGCCTTTTTTTATTAAAAAAAAAAACATCGTTTCTTTAAAAACCAGGGGGAATCTAAATTACATATTTTTCAAACTACCCCCACCATCTTCTTAAGCCAAACCCATACTGTAGTAATCTTAAATTACAATACCCCACTTATAATACCTCTTTGTAAAGCTTATGGGTGAACTAAAAAAACTAACCTCAAAAAAGTCTTGGAAAACGTACAATGCCTATTATTATTTTTTTAACGAAAAGAGATTATTAAAAATGTCGTTGTTGTAAAAGTTAGGGAGAATCCTAATGACTTATTTTTGAATAATTTCAATTCTTTGTCCTACGCTATAAGCTATTTTTAAAAATGATTAAAGACCCAGATGGAAGATAGTAACCGTAAAGGAGGGTATGTTTTTGATAGGGAAATTTGGGCGGTCTCTGACAAAAAAATTTAAATCTTTTAAATGCTTAGAAACGAGTAATGTCAATAAATTCAATGTGGCAACGTTTCGTTTTAATTATTTTAATGACTAATTGTTAGAAGTTACATTTTCTTGTTATTGTTGATAACAAAAAATGTGAATCGTTTTCTCTTCAATTCGTTTATTATTTAATTAGTTAGCATATTTTTTTATTATATCGTTTTTTGTTCAGTTCGTTTATTATTTAATTAGAATATTTTTTTATTGCATCATTCTCTGTTCAATTCGTTTATTATTTAATTAGTTAGAATACCTTTTTATTTTTACACTTTTTGTATCTATATTCGATAATTTCACATGGCCTCAATAAAGTGTTTTGGGTGCGATGGGTACATCAATAAAAAAGTACTTCAAAAGCAGCCAAGAATGAAACCTACCGGCAGTTTCTACTGAAGATTCGAGCACGCAGAGAAATTGACTTGGTAGAGCCTGGAGGAAACTCGCGCACTTGCATCCAATGCTATGCTACGTTTCGACGATAAGGTAAGCTGCGTTCAATGAGATCTAGCAATCCCAACCGATATCAATCACTTTCGTTCTACGATAGATATCGCTTCGTATCGATCGGTATCATTTTGAAGCGTTTAATTTTTACGCTCCTTTCTGCTGCGATCACGAAATTTGAGCGGATAAGCCCATAAAAACAACCTGAAACCCCTAAAACCTATCGCTATTTGCGATTGCTTGAAAAATATATCTTTAGCAACCTGGTTGTGCTTTATATAATGATAGAACACATAATTAAAAAGAATATTGTAGATTGTTGATAAAAACTCCAAGTGGCAATAAACAAGTTCACTTTTAATTGCAAATGCTACGTTTTATTAAATTAGAATTGTCCATCGACACAAATTTAATTTTTGCAAATTGAGCGTACCATTCAGCAAGCCGATTCTGCTACCCCAATCGCAGCAAGAATTCGATACACTCATTGAACGCAGCTTTAATAAATCTTACTTGTTTTTATTCTTAAGGCAATGAAATAAGACAACCTAATATCCAACAAGATCCTATTTCCATCATTGAAAATGTGTACAACGATGAGGTAGACTTTGAAAATGGTGAAGGGAATGGTGAAAACATTAGAAATGTACCGCTCAAACTGCCAAATAATCAAAGATCTTGTTGCGTGTGCGGTGTTATTAGACGGCAGCGTATTTCAAGGGAAGCTGTTCTCAAAATATGAATTCAAAACAGGATATTTTGCAACTTGGAGAACCGATCATGCCCGAAACATTTTGAGAATGGTTACTTTTCTGAAGAATCTGTTGCTCCATTGCGATTGCGGGCTGCAGGTAGCTTACTCATAATGACAATGAATGTTTAATTAATCTGCTCACTGATCGCGTGGTAGCTCTTGAAGAAAAAAAGCAAGATTGTGATAATAAAAATATGGATGACGACGATTGCAAGTGCTTGGCTTAACCGGATTAAGTAAAGCCCAGTTTGCAACGGTTGTAGGTAACTGCAATAACTTGACACCTAGAAGACAAGTTTCAAAAAAAAATTGCGTAACTATTTTTCTAATAAAACTGAGAAATGATCCAACTCAAAAAGTTTTAAGCAAGATGTTTGGCATGAAACCGAAGCAACAATATCTTATCAAAATATTCCACGATGTTCTTAACTCACTTACAGTTTCACTTTGTTCCTCTTCATCTTGGTTACCAACATATAACTCGTCAAGAATACGCTACTTATTACAGTACCACTACCTCAAATCGTTTGTGTCACGTTAATCCTGATTCATTGGTAGCTCTTGTTGATGCCACATACTTGTACCACGAAAAACCTCTTGATCATCTTTCTCAGCGAATGACATATTCTTTGCCAAAACGCTCGAATTTAGTTAAATTCTCGGTTGTGACAGCACCGGACGATTATATTATTGATGTTACCGACCCGCATGCTTCAGATGCTAGAAACAATGATTCGTCGATATTTAACGCTATGGCTGTTAACGAGGATGGATTTTTTTCATTTTTTCAAGAAGGTGACAGCATTGTATATGATCGCGGTTATCGAGACTCGATGCAGTTTTGCCGAAATATGGGACTAAATGTTTTTATGCCACATTTTCTTCCCAACGGCCAACGTCAACTAACTACTCAGCAAGCAAATGAATCAAGACTTATTACAATGGTCGGATGGGTAGTTGAAGCAATTTTTGGAAGACTTTAAAATAAGTTTCGGTTTCTAAGAAATGTTGTGCCAAACAGTTACGGATGTGAAACATTTGGAAGCATTTTTAAAGTAATATGTGCTTTATTCAATGCGTTTTTTGTGCCTATAAATGAAAGTGGGCCTGAAGATGACACATTCTCTGACAAGGTTTTGGAAATTGTGATTCTCCCTAATAATTTATTAGACAGAATTAGAGATTAACGCCTAATTCAAGGTAGAATTGATTGACCGCTGGTAGACGGATTTATTGACCTTCAAGACTTTCCAATTTTATCGGAAGATGAAATTCAGGACTTAACACTCGGTACATACCAGATTCAATTATCGTACAGTTATACGTCATCACATATAAACAACGGCAACTATTTGGTAAAACTACATCGAAAACCTAATGCCGAAATTGATAATACTCATCTGATAAGAGCCTGAATAGCTTCAAGGTTTCAAGCTGCTACCGAAAGAAAATGCTTTATTAAATATAACAGCCAACTAATTGGAGTAAACGCAATAACTGGCTGGCATTTCTGCAAATCAGATGCACGAGTTTTAGGAATGTGTGGACATGTCTGCTCTCTAATATGGTTTTTGTCATACGGAAGGCATCAGCCAGGAAGTCGTTATCTGTCAAGAGATATGGCAAATAATTTAAATGACTTAGCTATTGCTATAAGAAGTTTTTTTTGCTTTAATTTAGTTAAGTAGATAGTATTTAAAATAGGCCACTTTAATGTTGGTATTTAGCATGGTCTTTCTGAACACATTTAACCCTAAATAAGATGTTTTTCATAGATCTTTTCAAAAATATTTAAATTGGTTTTGTTTTGGTTTTTTAATTATATTGAACACCAGTAGGATATAATTCTTGTACTTGCTTTTATCTTAGGTGTCATTGGCATTGCTATGGTTATTATCCTCATATTGTGTGTAGGCTTTGTTACTGTCTCCCTGCTCCACTATGAGGACAGCACTGTTAATTAGAAGCAAACAGTGAATGCTCGAGTGGGGAATTACCGTCAGGCTACCCCACCCTGTTTCTTGTAATTTTGTAAAAATGTTGTCATAGATTTTCTAATGGTGTTTAGGTACTTCTTGTTTAGGTGCTTGTTAGGTGCGTACAAGATAGGTTTTCTAATAATGTTTAAGAGCAAAAATCTACATAGTTATTTTAAAAATGTACGTGTGTATTTCTGTTTTAATTAATAATTTGTTAATGTTTAACTTCCATTGTTTTTTGTCTCTGTAGCTAAGGTATAGCATTTCATTACCTGATGCAGGCTTTTTTAAAAGAAATTTTAAACTGATGAAGCCTTTTTATACTGACCACTTGCAGACCACCGCCATTAGACGCCAATATCCAAAACTTAAAAACCGAAAAGAGTGCAGTTTCAGGTGGTTGAATAGAAACAAAATCGCAGAAGTAAACCTTTCTGTTGGCTGATTTTTACTGACCTCGTTCTTTAATTTTGAAAGAGTAAAACCAAATTTGGTAGATTTTCACACTTTAAAAGTGTGAAAATCTACCAAATTTGGTTTTACTCTTTCAAAATTAAATGGATTTTCATCAAGTAAAGGCCGAAACAATAAATAACTCGTTCTTTAATTC